GAATTCAGTTTTTTCGGCATTTGTTTTAATATAATTTAAATTACTGTAAATATTGCATGTTTTTATCAGCTTTTTAAGACCAGAGAGGGTAGAGCTTAAAAGTATGATATCATCCGCATATGCCACCACACCAGTGAAGTTACCATATATAGATGTGCCAACAATACCTTGATTTGTAATAGTTTCAAGAAGACTTTCAGTGTAAATATTATATAGGTGAGGTGAAAGAATCGATCCTTGTCTTACTCCTTGCTTTAGAAGAAAGGAGTTTGATTTACAACCTTGATATGAGACTGTTGCACTACTATTGTTATATAAAGAAGAGATAGTGTTAACTATACAGAGTGGTAATTTTTTATCGAAATATAATTTATCAAATAGGATATCCCAGTTGCAGCTATCAAAAATAGCTGCAACTGGCTTTCTCTACATCTAAAGAGCATAGGTATACAGGTGAGTTGTTGCTATTGTAATGTTTAATTGTTTCGCTAATTAGAAATTCAGCATGTAGCGTTGAACAGTTAGCATTGAATCCAAATTGTAGGGGGTGAGTATCTCTAATATCCGGACATAGAATAAGGATTAGGAATTCTAGAATCTTTGTAAAAATTGGTATAATGCTAATACCGCGATAATTGCTCGGGCTATCTAAAGATTTTTTATACGATTTAACAAGGGGTATAATAATAGACGTTGACATTGATAATGGTGTCCACCCATAATTAATGGAATAATTAAAAAATTTGATGAGCCATTTTGTTAAAGTATCACAATTTGCGTATTTCAAATTTTCTGCTGAGATACAGAAAGAGTCAGGAGATTTTTTAGATTTTAGATTTGAAATAGCCCTAATTATATTTTCTTCAGTTTTTGTAACATCATCGTGTTTTGTACACAGGGGAATTCTCCGATGATTTTCATTGCGATGTATTATTTTTGAAGTATTTAGTACTTTTTTGAAGTGGTTTGCAAATTCTGAAGTAATGGATTCTTTGTCTTTTTTATTATTTATGGTAAATAATCTAGAATTTATGTCTTTGTTTAAACACCTAAAAGCATTCCAAAAGTTTTTTGGTCTAATATTTTTTAACTTTTCAATTTTAGTATACTGTGCGCAAATTTTATTATTTTGGGCCAACTTGACGGCTTTGCGAAAGCTTTTACGAGCCATTAGGTAACGATTGAAGGTTACGGAGTTTAAATCTTTTAAAAAACCAGAATCTCTCCATTTGTTAAAATGAATTGAAAGAATAGTTTTAGAACGACTTAATTCAGGTGTCCACCAAGATTTTGAATACAAACATTGCTTTTTATTTTTTAAAGTTTCCTTAAAAGCTATTTGAGCGCTGCCAGCAATTATTTTATAGATTTGAACAAGGTCGTATTCATAGTTATCAGTAAAATTAAGATAGTTAAGGCAATTGGTTAAATGATCATTATATGAATTTATAAAGTTAGAATCGTTCCAAGCGTAGCTAGGAATATTAGTATCTTCTGCTATTGTGGTATTGTATTTAGTATGCGTACCTTCAACTTCAACTGATATTGATAGTGGTAAATGATCGCTTAAGTTATTTGAGCACTCAAGATGAACGATGCATTTTAGACTTAGGAAATTTGTATATTTCGGTATGGCGACGTGATCAGTATATGACGAATTCGGTAGCGTCTGGTGCCGATATGTATAATTAGAGCCAGAACCGTTAGTTACATCTACTAGTTCTAATTGATTTGATTTTAAAAATTCAGATAAGTGGACAGAATAATTGTTTCTTTTGGAATTCGATCTTTCAGATAAATCATATATTTGGTGTGGAAAAGATTGAAAATCACCGGTTATAATTATATTACCGTTACCTTCGTAACTATTAATAAAACCTTTGACCACATCAAGTTGACTTTGGTATTCTTCCAGTGAGGAGAGGCTGTTCCGCGACGAGGAGAGGTATATTCCAATAACTATAATATTAAGTTCATTTTTTTCGAAATTTATTGCTAAAATATGGTCATCCTCGTAAATTACTCTAATATTTTGGAATTGATTTTTTCGTATAAAGAAAGCATTTCCGCCAAATGGTCAACCTTTTTCATATTTAACAGACTGATGGAAATATATGGAGTGTGTTTTATTTGATAAATCTCTTATTACCAAGTATTCAAGTTTAGATATCCAATGTTCACATAAACGTTATATCATAAGATTGTATAAGTGACTTTGTATACTCAAAGTTTGACTTTAGTCCCTGACAGTTAAAAGTACATATATCGAAAGTTGTTGAAGGCTTGTTTTTTCCTCTCATGCTGCTTGGATCCATTTTCAATTAAAACTTTTATCCTGGCTTCCGTTGGATACCAGATTTTGCTCACTGTTTTTGAAAAAGCGTTTTGTTCTAAAAGGTTTTACAATTATATTATTGTGCCATACATCAGGGTTGAAAATTTTTATTTTTTCCGAACTGTTAATTGTAACTCGAAACGATCTATTATATTCGTTTGTTTTGTTTACGGCAACTAACAATGGCGTAATGTCTATTTCACTTATCATATAATTTTTAAGATCTTCTTCAGTAACTTGATTGCATATGCCTCCAACAAAGACATCAAATTTACGTACAATTTTTTCGCCTACAATGCTTTTATGATCAGTAATTTTAGTTCCAAAGATAGGCTCAATCTTACGGTACTTTTTTTCGAAAGATAAATTTTGGTGGCGTGCAATGGGGCGCACGGGTTTATTATTCTTACCAATTAAAATAAAGTTGTCATCTTTATTCCTTTCAATACTCATTTTCAGTTTTTTATCATTTAATTTGTCAGAAATTTTCTCAGAAGTTATTGCGGTTGATTGCGTTTGAGCCACAACATTAGCAAATGTTTTTGAAAAATGTTGTTTTGGTGAATTTTTAATTTCAATATTATTTGGATATGAGGAATTGCAATTAATCGAATTTGAAACAATAGATTTAATTGTTGGTTTGCAGCATGATTGCTGAAAGCTATCTTTTGTAAAATTTGCGGTGACTTCAGAATTTTTATTTTCATTTTGCGTGTGGTAGTTAAAATGTTTATTTTCACATTGTGCATAATAATCAGATTTTACGTTTCGGGTATTTTCGTTTGATACTTTAAGTTTTTCAATAAGTTTACTTTGATGAGTTAATTTTTCTCGCATCAGACTTAGCTCCAATTTTATTTCTTTATTTTCTTTTAGAATTGAGTTTGTCATAGTAATTAATTCTTTAACTGACGAGATTAAAAACTTGTCACTAATAATTTCAACATTTTTGATCGAGATTACGGCCTTGACTATATCTTTATAAAGTTGCTTTTCGCATATTGTGATCGAAAATAAATAAATATCCTACAAACATAGTGATGTTTTATATCTTTTGCGAAGATTCTTTTCAACAGGGTTTTCGGAGTCTAACGTTATATTTATATCACAGAATTGTTCTGTGCCAAATTTATCCAAGATTTCAGTAAATAGGCGTTCGCGAAGATTTCGAATCACGTTTTCTGAAACTGTTTTCAAACCTTGAATAATTAAATCCTTTGGGTGAGAACATATTTCATCTAAGTCTTTCAGATAGTTATCTTTAAACGTATTTGAATCGCACATCAAGTTAGAAAATATCTCACCGACTAAGCGTGGTGCCATATTCGTATTTTAAATTCAATTATGGTGACAAGAAAATACCAAATTAAGTAACAAATTTATATGGTAAGTTCACAATATATATGCATAAAATATAAATAACGAAACTAATACTAAAAACACAATATAACTTTTCCTTAAATTTTTTGCTGCCAAAACACGTCCGTTCTTTTTATGTGCAATACAGAAAAAACCGCTGATGATAAAAATGCTGATAATACTAAAATTTTATCAAGTTTAAAATAAAGAAAAAGTTTAAACGGTTCAAGCTGACTCGGATAACGCTGTCGCTTAATCAAAAAAAGGTTAATTTCTATTAATTTGGACAAATGCCTAGTTATGCATTACGGAAAAAAAAGACAAAATTCAGTCTTATATGAATGATGATTCATTCTTAAATAAATGATGGCAGAGAAGTTGTAAAAAAAATTTTAGTTACAGACTTGGGATTAAAATTTTCAAATGATCTTAAATAGAATTTGTTGCCACAGTATGGTCTTCAAATATAAAGGGAGATATTTGTAATTTAGAAAAAGTTCAAAGACGAGCAACTGAAATAATTCCTTTTCTAAAAAGCTTGGCATATAAAGATCGTCTCGTCAAACTTTATTTAACAACCCTGGAGCAGAGGAGACATGATACAGATGCACAAAATGTTTAAAGAAATAGAAAAAGTTAATCTCGTCAATCCACCATTATTTAAAAATTTAATCACGAGAGGTCACAAGTTTAGATACGAAATTTATTAGCAATGCAATAAATCATAACTTTTTTAACAAATAGAAACGCACCGCTATGAAATTCTCTGCCGGTAGAGGCTGTAAACGCAAAATCTTTGAAGGAATTTAAAAAATTTATGATACAATACATAAGTAACAAATTACACACATTTATGAAAACTTTTATTGATGTTTGATAAGACTGTCAAAGTGTGCAATTTACACTGGCGATTCTACAGCATAAACTATAGTAATAATAACTACAGTAATAATATAACTATAGTAACCGTCATTAACTCAGATCAGAACTATGGATTTTCTTAATCATTATCAACCAAGGCCGATGAAAATTTCCGCTTAAACAGACTTTAACTAAAACTTCATTAGCTTTCTCAAATAGATATACCTGTAACCGCATTGGAAATATCAAATATTTTGACGATAGAAGTCAGTTTCAGGCAGCTTAAATCAAACCAATAAGAAATTATACAAAAAACTTTCTTAAATTCTTGAAAAATTAAAAATTACGATTTTTATAATATAAAATATTAAAACCAACTTTGCAGAATTTTTACAAGTAAATATCAAACGATTACTTAAACCAGAAAAGAAAAAAAAGCCTAAAATTAATTTATCAAGAATTAATTTAATTGACGTATTAACATGACATCTTTTTCGATCGTTCATCACGGAACACAGCTTGACAAATGACGACATGATGGCGATTCAGCTTTTACAATTCACCCTAAAAAATTTAAGAAAAACATGTTATAGATATACAGAGAACTTTTTATAATTAAAATCTTCAATATATTTAGTCATCTTTGTTTATTAATAGATACATATGCATAAGTCGCACGGTCGACGCTGTTGACCTAGATACATATGCATAAATACGTATTTACACCAGTATCTAATTATAAATGTATATATTAACAAACACAAATACAAGAAAACTTTTAAAAGCTAATTTTAAAAACACATTTTTTATTTTTTTTCCTTCTGCAAAACCAAAAAGGAGTATTATCTAACTCTTTAAGTGGAACATTTTTTTCCATAGAAATTTAAGATAAAAATCAGGTAACACGAATCATGTAAACACTATATAAGAGATAAAACAATATCTAAAAATACATTTTTAAAAAGTGCTTATTACATTAGTAGTATATATTTTTTTATTTGTCATTTAAGCATCTAGATAAACACCATGTGGTTGTAAATGTTGGTAACAGTAGGAACTTCTTTCCTTACACCTTTTCGTATAACCATTCTTGTGGTATCTGGTATGCAAGTGGTCAACATATAACCATCACGTTTATTCTTTCAATGTATAACCATGAACTTATATCCACCTTATCTTTCAGCTTTCCATTAATAACATTCTTTGGTAAATGTTTTCTGTAGCTATGTTCCAACAACACCAGTTTTTATTTTGCAAGAGGAAAAAAAGTTTTTACAAGGAAATGTACTAATTGTCAAGACCGCCCACAATCGAAAAGTCCATCAAACTATGACATTAGTCGCTAGATAGTTAGATTTATGAGAAATTTTTCTCGTACTTCTTTTTTGGGCTGACCTTATCATCGCACCACCTACTACTTCCCTGAATCTGACTGGGATTCTTTTCGTGATTTTCTTCGTGATGGTCCTTGGGCTGATGTTTTTTCTCTCTCAGCTGATAATTGCGCCTCCTTCGTAACCTCCTGGATTCAGGCTGGAATGGAAGCTTTTATTCCATTTCGTTGGTTTTTAAGTCAAGCCTCATTCTACTCCATGGTTTTCTCCTTCTTGTGCGGCTGCTATATCCAATCGTAATCATTTTTTCCATCTTTTTTAAAAGAACAACTCTCTTGAGAACAAACGGCTATTTACTATTGCACGAAATCGATGTAAAAAGGTGCTTTCTGATGCTAAACTCCATTATTCTCAGTTCACTACATCTCGCATCTTATCACAGAAGTTAGGCTCTAAAGACTTTTGGAAAATCTTCTACATCATTATTAACAAGGGTAGATCTAACATTCCATCTCTCATTCATGGGACTGATCTTATTACCTCTCCCAAGGATAAGGCAGAACTATTTGCAAAGAACTTTTCTTTTAATTCCACTCTTAAGGCGAGTTTCCACTCATCCGTTTATTCACGGGAACGGGAAAGGGATGGGAAAAATAATCACGTGGGCATGCGTAGTATAAATTTTAATATGTCCGAAGGAAAACTACGCATGCTCACGTGATTATTTTTCCTATTCCTTTCCCGTTCCCGTGAAAAAACGGATGAGTGGAAACTCACCTTTATGGACATTCTCTTTCTTCCATTCCAGTCAAACAGGTTGACTCATTGTTAGACATTCATCACTCCGGCTTCTGTTGCTAAAGTCATATCTCAATTAAACTCGTCTACATCTTGTGGTCCAAACAACATTCCTGTCACAGTCTTGCAGAATCGTTCTCCAGAACTTTCTTCAATTCTCTCTAAACTATTTAACAAGTGTTTGATTGAGTCTTGTTTTCCTGCTTGTTGGAAAATGGCATCTGTGGTTCCAATATTCAAAAATTCTGGAGAAAATTCTGACCCCTCCAATTATAGTCCGATCAGTCTTCTTTCTGTTATTAGCAAGGTCTTTGAGTCTTTGATCAACAAATTCCTCACATCTCATCTTGAGTCAAATAAACAACTGTCAGACAATCAACACAGTTTCCGATCCTCTCGCTCTACGGCCGACTTGTTAACTGCTGTAACTAAAAAATTTTATTGTGCATTAGATGGAGGCGGTGAGACTAGGGCTATTGCTCTCGACATATCTTAAGCTTTCGACAAAGTTTGGCATGCTGGTCTTCTCCATAAGCTTGCTTCATATGGTGTTTCTAGGAAAGTTTTTGAGAATATCAAATCATTTCTTTCTAACCGGTTTATTAAAGTCATCCTTGAAGGCCAACACTCTTCTTTATTTCCAGTAACTTCTGGAGTTCCCTAAGGTTCCATCCTGGGCCCCGTTTTGTTTCTTATCTACATAAACGATCTTCCTGACAACCTTTCATCTAAAGTAGCTCTTTTTGCTGATGATTCAATTTTATACTCCTGTCTTGACAAAAAGTCTTCTCTTTTCGATTGAATCCGATCTCACTTCAGTAATAGATTGGGGTTCACAGTGGCTTGTGAATTTTAACTCTAACAAAACCCAGTTTTTACTGCAAACAACAACCGTAATATGGTCAACATTCCTATATTAATGAATGGCAATCCTCTTACTGAGTCGTCCTCTTTACGTCTTCTTGGATTATCGTTTACTACTGACCTTTCATGGAAACCATATATACAATCGATTGCTAAATTAGCTTCTGCTAAGGTTGCTTCTCTTTATCGTGCTTGCCATTTCCTTACTTCTGATTCCATTCTCTACCTGTACAAATCTCTTATTCGTTCCTGTATGGAATACTGTTGTCATATTTGGGCTGGTTCTTCTAACGATTCACTTTCTCTTCTTGACAAGGTTCAAAATCGCATTGTAAATGTTGTTGGACCTGGACTATCTGCTAAGCTTGAACCTCTTTCCCATCGTCGTAAAGTTGCATCTCTTTCTCTTTTCTACAAATACTATCATGGTCACTGCTCAAAGGAGTTATCATCTCTAGTTCCATCAACTAAAATTCATTCTCGTTTTACTCGTCATTCAGCTAAGTCTCATTCGTTTACTGTATCTGTCCCTGCATGCTCTAAAAACTTTCAAAAAAAATTCATCTAGTTTTTTTCCCCGCACTTCAATCCTTTGGAACTCTCTCCCATCTTCATGTTTTCCTGACTCATACAACCTTCAACTTTTCAAGTCTTCTGTCAACCGTTTCCTTGCTCTATAACTTTGTTCTTTTTTTTCCCTAGTAACTCCAAACTTAATAGTGGTTGCTAGCAGCCTTGTTGGGAGTGAATGCAAATAAAAAAAAATATATATATAATTTGAATCCAGAAATCTTGTTTTGTGACAGACATTTTCCATAACAGTAGTAATTCATCTATGATATATTACAGAACTTAGTCCTTCACTCCTCAGCTGAATTAATCATTCTTAACAAGGTTATGACCTTGGCAATTTATCTGAGGAAGGTCTAGAAGCAAACAACAAAGATATAAAAAAAAAACATTTAACTTTCATAAAACATCACATTTAAAACAGCTTACAGATGAGATCATCTAGATCAACTTTCAGAGAGATCCTTGTGTTAAACTGAATTACTTATTTTCATCCTCCAAAGTTCTACCAAGATTTTGGTTAAAAACCACAATTTTGGTAGAACATGGATATATCTTTAGTTATAAAATATTTTTAAATCTAAAGACATATCTTGACAATATGTTAAAAGTTATTAACATTTTTTACGGTTTATTTTCAAAATATCATGTTATTTCAAATCTTTAAAAACCTTTAAGGGGTAAACAGATTGTTGACCAGCCTCGTACCCCTTTTTCATCTATTAGGCTGGCGCAGATGTATTTTTAATACATTGTTTCCAGTTAAGGATGTTGAACGCTGGATCTTCTTGACTTGATTCATGGGTTTTGCTTGTGTTCTTGTTTTTATGACTAGGCAACTCATTCTATTATCTCCAAATGAGGGTACAGCTCTAAAACTCAGTTTTATGGTTCTGAGGCCGGCTGGTAGTCAGGTTTCCCAAACTCTGTGGTAGCTCTCAGAGAGGCTGATTCCATCAACAGCTGAAAAATATCAGAGTACTAACAGTGCCATGTTGCGCATGGATGGTGTCCCTGTTTGTACTTTTGGTGTGCATTGCCAAGGCCACATTAGAGCCCTTTGTTACGGCTTAGGGTTTATTAGTGGAAATGAGGCAATTGCTTAAGCTATAAGACAGTGTACTGAGTACTATCTATGTTTCCAGTCAAGTTCTTTAACAAATTTAAAAATGAATAAAGCAACAAAAACTATAAAACACAAAAAACCACAGTCATCACCAAGTTCGCTAAACCTATCATTCACCAATATTCGTGGTCTTCGAAGTAACTTTTCTTCTGTTTAGTCTAATCTTTTGCAAAGTTCACCAGACCTACTTGCTCTTTGTGAGGCTAATTTGAGTTCAGCTGTCTCATCTTGTGATCTTAGTGTTGATGGTTATCTTCCTTTAATTCGTAAAGACTCCAATAGTCACATGCTTGGCCTGGGCATTTACATTCGTAAGAATTCACCCATTTGTCGGGAAACTAGGTTCGAATCCACAGACTACTCTTTTATGTGCTTTCGTTTAGCACCACTTCACTCTATTACCTTTCTCTTTGTTCTATATCGCTCTCCCTCATCCCAAGACTGCACTCTTCTTGATGTTATTTCTGATTATATTGACCAAGCCCTCATTCTTTATCCATCAGCCAATATTGTTGTTGTCGGTGACTTTAATGTTCATCACACTGAATGGCTTGGCTTAGTGTCAGTGACTCTGCAGGCATTAAGGCCCACAACTTTTGTCTTTCTCAATCCCTAACTCAAATAGTCAACTTTCCAACTCGCTTTCCAGACAACCCGAATCATTTACCTTCTCTACTTGACTTATGTCTTGTTTCTTCACACTCACCCTTAGGTGCTTCTAATCATGGTTTGGTCTCTCTAAAACTATTATCTCATTCTTCTTTGCCATCAGAACCCCCCTATCATCATACATCTTACAACTACCTTAAAGCTGACTGGCACTCTTTCTGTGATTTTCTTCGTGATGGCCCCTGGGTAGAAATCTTTTGTCTCCCTGTTGACAAATGTGCTTCTTACATAACTTCATGGATTCAGGCTGGCATAGAATCCTTTATTCCCTCTCAACGATTCCAGGTCAAGCCTCACTCTTCACCATGGTTTTCCTCAGATTGTGCTGCTGCAAATGCCAATCAAAACCATTACTTCCATATCTATCAGCAAAACAGTTCTCCAGAAAACAGACGTCTGTTTATTACTGCTAGGAACCATTGTAAAAAGGTTTTGTCTAATGCCAAAGCCCGCTATTCTAAGATCATGAAATCTTGTATTTCATCACAAAAATTAGGCTCTCGTGACTTCTGGAGAATCTTTAATAGTATCAATAATAAGGGCAAGTCTGTAATTCCACCTCTTTTGTATGGTTCAGACTTTGTCACCTCACCTAAAGACAAAGCTGAATTGTTTGCTTAGAACTTTTCATCAATATCATCTCTTGATGCCACTAGTTGCATTCTACCTGATATAGCCGTCAAACAGGTTGATCCATTGCTCGACATTCGTATCACTCCAGCTTTTGTATCTAAAGTGATTTCCCGCTTAGACTCTTCTACAGCTTGCAGCCCGGACAACATACCTGTTAAAGTCTTGCAGAAGTGTCCTCCGGAGCTGTCATCTATCCTTTCAAAACTATTTAACAAGTGCTTATCAGAGTCTTGTTTTTCAGCCTGCTGGAAAGCAGCATCTGTTATCCCTATTTTTAAAAATTCTGGAGAGCGTTCTGATTCGTCTAACTACCGTCCCATTAGTCTTCTTCCTATCATAAGCAAGGTTTTTGAATCTTTAATTAACAAACACTTAATCTCTCATCTCGAATCTCATAACCTTCTTTCTGATCATCAATATGGATTTCGATCTTCTCGTTCTACAGCTGATTTGCTAACAGTAATAACCGATAGGTTTTATTGCGCATTAGATAAAAGTGGAGAGGTTAAGGCCTTTTCTTTTCCTTTCTTTCCAATCGTAGTATAAAAGTTGTCCTTGATGGACAGCACTCTTTTTCTTATTCTGTAACCTCAGGGGTTCCACAAGGTTCAATCCTTAGCCCTATGCTCTTTTTAATTTACATTAACGATCTTCCAGATATTCTCACATCTAAGGTGGCATTGTTCGCTGATGATACTACCATTTATTCTTGTCATGATAAAAAGCCAACTCCCCCTGAATGCTTGCAGGGGGCATCTGAGCTTGAAAAGGATCTCACTTCTGCTACAGCATGGGGCTCACAGTGACTGGTGAACTTCAATTCAGATAAAACTCAATTTTTTTCGGCCAATCGTTATCGCAATAATTTAGACCTTCCTATATTTATGAACGGTAATGTACTCGATGAGTCTCCTATCCTTCATCTTCTAGGATTAACTCTTACTTCTGATCTTTCTTGGAAACCTTATATCAAATCCGTTGCAAAATTAGCATCTGCTAAAGTTGCTTCTCTTTATCAAGCTTGACAGTTTCTTACTCTGGTTTCTATTCTCTATCTCTATAAATCTCAAATCCGGCCTTGTATGGAATACTGTTGCCATATCTGGGGCGGATCTTCTAATGGTGCCCTTTCTCTTTTAGATAAGGTGCAAAAATGCATTGTAAACATAGTTGGACCTGCTCTTGCAGCTAACCTTCAATCTTACTACAGCATTAAGATGATGTCACATTGTCGTAACGTTGCTTCTCTTTCTCTTTTCTACAAATACTATAATGGACACTACTCAAAGGAGCTAGCCTCTTTTGTGCCATCTACTAAAATTCATTCTCGTGTTACTCGTCATTCAATTAAGTCTCATCCTTTTTCTGTTACTGTTCCCTAAGTGCTCCAAAAACTCTTATTTGTCTAGTTTTTTTCCTCGAACATCAGTTCTTTGGAATTCGCTTCCTTCATCTTGCTTTCCTGATTCATTTAATTTGCAATCTTTTAAGTCGTCTGTCAATCGTTATCTTGCTCTACAATCTTCATCTTTTCTCTTCCAGTAACTTCCAACACTAATTAGTGGTTGCTTGCAGCCTTATTGGAAGCGAAGATAATTAAAACAAAAAAAAACAAAAAAAAAAACCTTTATTAATAATTTTGTCATATTAAAATAATTTGAAATCCAAATTTGACTAAAAACACGTTTTTGAGTACTAAATTTCTTATCTAAACATTAGGAACCAGACCTCCAAATTCATTAAACCTCTGAATTTTCATTGAGTATATCAAATAAATAGCATTTTGAGTAGGTCAAAAATGCTTTAACACAGAAATTGGAACCCAGAACACAAAATAATTTATATTTTACTACACCAGTAAAAAAAATTATCTTTTCAACAAGTGAGTTTTCAACAGCTTCTCAATCATTAGTTATGATTCCATTTCCATAACTGCTTTTTGGGTTCACTACATGTGGTAAGGTTGTATTTCTTTGTTATTTCTACCAATACCAAAACAGCTGCTGCTTAAGCATGGTATCTTCATTGATTTCATCAACCAAACCTTAATCTTGCATAAACTGTTATTTAGCAAAATTGCATCTTTTTACTGTAAATGTTTCATCATTCTTAAAAAACATAAACTTATCTAGTTTTTTCAACGAACATCAATACTTAGGATTCTTAACTTTATGTTTTCCTCACTCCTATAATTTACAATTTTTTTAAGTCTTTTGTCCAATGTTTTCATTTGATAGGTTGTGGTTTTATTTGAGACAACTAGGACACAACCAGCTAATGCAAATTGGGTTGGTAAAAGTAATAGCCATCTTCAAAATAACAGTTTATTTGGGTTATGTGGAAATAGAGTGATGAAATAGATAAATAAAGCCTGATGGAATAGAGGTTAACCACTTTTCAACTGGTCAACACTATGTGAGAAATTGTTGGAAACCTATTATATGCAAAATAAATTAAAATTTCAAAATTTTTTTAATAATTGGTTGATGACCTTAAAAATATATTTTATCTAAGGAGAATGAGAACGAGGAGCACAAGCATCCATATTGCTGGAGGAATGGGTAGTAGTAAACCACATAAATGAAATGCACTCAAATACAAAAGTACGCAACACCCAAAATCTTTGGTCCCAAAAAAGGTGCCTGTGTTTTGCTAGAACAGAACAGGGAAAAAGACCTACATTTAACCATCATCACATATTTAAACTAATCTTAGCTATGTTAAATGTCAGTTGACACCTCTGGCCCTGAAGTTACCATCTTTAAATGCTTTCAACAATTATAAAAACTTGTAAGTCAATCTTAGTACAAAACAAATGATTAGTCTGCAGCAGATTGAAAACAACTTGAATACAATTATCATAAATTTATTTTCCACAAAGGTTAGTGTACTATGTAGGCCTCATGATAAACAAAATTACAATAATAGGATTGGATAAACAGTTTTATAATCTATGTGGCTATTCGCTATATTAAAATTATAAAATGGATAGTCTGTTAAAATAAAAATGTACATTAATTTTTGTTTCTATTATATATGCTAACCATTACATAAGGGGCAGTCAGCCTTAAATGGTATCATACGAGGTGTCAGGTATCTAGAAATTCAGACCTGATTCAGAAAAACTACTTTGATATTCAGAATCAGCATTCAAAACAAAAGTTCAAAACAAAAGTTCAAAAATAAGGTCGGCAAAAAATTGCCGACCTTATTTCTATGTTTTATGGTCAGACCTTTGTATTAAATAATTTTTGCCGACCTTATTTTTCCTAATTCCGAGGGTTGCTTATAGCAACTAAAGATACTAGCAAACTTTTTTTTTTAAAGTGTAATCAATGATACTGTAAATATTTCATTTAATAAAATTAAAAAAGCACTTGAGTTTATTATATGGGAGATTCTCATAAATTTCTAACAATCATAAATATTATAGTTATATATAATATTTAGAAAAAAAATATACCATAGATGAGAAAAATTAAAAAATACCTTTTCTTCGATATAACTATCCAATTCTTTATCAAGTTGTTCTCTATTTGGTGGAGCTTCACGACCACCTCTTCCACGACGCATTCTTCCACCACCTCTATTTAAAGCACCTCTATTAGAACCACGTCTATTTTGTTGATAGCTACCACGGAAACCGCTACCTCTTCTAAAAAAAAACACTTTGCTTTTTTTATTGAAAAAGAATATAATCTGGGAATTTTTGTTTAAAGCACAAAATAATCAAATTACATTTTGTGTCATATCAAAGAATATATGTAAACTTAAAAAATTAAATACTAAAAACATGTTATGTCTGCATTAGATGAATTTAAAATAAATAAAAGATTAATTACAAATACTTTTTACAAGGAATTTTTTAGACAGTTGAAAATAATTTTTGGAATTGCGAATAGCGTATTAAGCTTAAAACTAATGAAAAAATTCAAATGGACATTGCTAAAAAATAAAAAACTATAAATCATTTTTAAAAATTCAAAACACGAAAAATTATATACATAAGCCTGACTTATGTATATAATTTTATCCTGATTACACATATATGACTGTATATATATATATATATATATATATATATATATATATATATATATATATATATATATATATATATATATATATATATATATATATTTATATATATGTATGTATATGTATATATATATACCCACACATATATAAATGAGCATTAGATGCACACGGATGACGTCATTCAAAAACAGGATATTGCAGGGGCTTCAGTACATACATTGACTATATTATAGCATGCTACTGCAATGGAGTGCTGCTACATCAACTTAGGGTTTGCCATGGGGCACCATTCTCTTTTTTTTCATTATTCTTCATTTTTTTTCTTTTTTTGAAAAATTAAAACGTACATTTTTAAATTTAGAGCGCAAAAATGATATTAGGAAATTGCATCCTTAGATATGGATAGAGTGTGTGAATATATATATATATATATATATATATATATATATATATATATATATATATATATATATATATATATATATATCAGGCTCTGCCTGGAAGGCATGTGATTTTAAGTCATTATATGACCACGAAAATAAAATTTTGTTTAGATGATTTAACCACAATTTTTAACAAATGCGCTGAAAAAATTGGTTTTTAATTACGTTGAAAATAAATAACTTCGACACAAACAAACAAATAAGACAAACTTTTATAAAAGTTTCAAAACATATTAACAGCTGTGGTCAAGTTTAGTAAAACCAAATAGTATTTGCGCAGTCATATTATGACGTGAAATCGTATATTTATATATTATCCTTCCTGATAATGTAAAAATAAATATATATATATATATATATATATATATATATATATATATATATATATATATATATATATATATATATATATATATATATATATATATATATTATGTCACATTTTTGCTCTATAACTCTGATTTTGCTGATTTTTATACAGTTGAGAGTGCTTAGTATAATGAGAATTTCTTGAAAATTTTACTCTTTGGCTCCAAGAAGATCTTAAAATATGATTATTTTATTTTTAACAGATGTTGACCAACCCCCTCTAGTCCCCCAGAATAGCAGAGGGGTTTTAAGTTACATAACTTTAAAAGTATTCAATCTAATTTAAAAATTTATACCTGGCTATTTTCAGTAGTGGTGAATATAATGAAATGATCAGAAATGTAAAAAATTGAAAGTCTGACTTGAACTTTCAGCATTTGTGTGATCAGAGGGCCAGGGCACTGGGGACCATGCCCCACTATTCTTATAAATTATTTTTTTTGCATTTTTAATAAAGTAAAGATAATTTTTTTTTTTGTTTGTTTCATTTAGTTTTTGATCATTCTGTATTTAATGATCTTTCTTAAAATGTTTTAAGAAAGTTTAAAAAAAAAAAAAAGTTTATAAGATTTTTGATTAGCAAGTCATTCATCTAAAATAATGATTTCAACAGAACTTTACATTGTATAATTTAAAACATTTTTAATTGAAAAGAAAATAGACAGAACAACATTGATTTGTCAGACAACAATTAAAGAATACAAATTGATGTTATCAGAGGAAATAAAAAAATTAACAGCTCACTTCTACATTGCAAATGTCAAGCAAGATACCTTAAGCAACACAAGGAAAAGTGGGCAAAAAACTGCTGTATTGTCTTAAGTGATTTTGCAGAAAACTAGACATTTGTGATTCAAGACGAAATCTAAAGTTACCATTTGTGCCAAAGCCAATGCACATTACACATTGTTGCCCTATATTAAATGAAAATGACAAGCTTAAAAAAAAAATTGTCAGAAGATAATGATCATGACATTGGTTTTGTGTATTAAGTGCAGACAGAAATAGTTGATTATTTATAAGAAAATCATTCTAATATTAAAAAGATTCTTTATTTTTAGATGGTTGTGCTGCACAGTAAAAAAAATACAAAAACCTTTACAATATCTGTTTTCATAAAGATTATTTTGACATTGATGCAGAGTGGACATTTTTTGCTACAAGTCATGGTAAGTGGCACTTTAAAACGATTAACATGGTATGGTGGCACTTTAAAACGATTAATTGCAAATACAAGTTTACAAAGGTCCATAAATGACCAGATATTGAATTGTAATAAAATGTTTGACTACTATACAAATAATATTAAAGTAATTATTTTTTTCATGATTAAAAAAGAAAGACTGACAGAATTGTGCACCACTTTGAGAAATTATTTTCACCTGAGTAGAACAATTCCTGAAACTAGGAGCTATAATCAATTTAACCCAGAATCAATAGAAACTGTTAGTTTTAAACGAACAATTGAAGACTTTAATATAACAGGGATGACTTCTTTTTCTGGTATTCAACCTAATCAGCAAATTAACATCAAATCAATTTGGTGAATTTATTCTGTGTAAATATGGTATAATAATTATTGATATGATAAATGAAATTGACAATATTGAGATGTTAGGGTATTATTTATGCACTCTTTTAACTAACTTTTCTGGCTATCTTTGCAGATGAGTGTTGGGTTCAAATTACCAACATAACATATCATTGATGCAACTGTAACAACAACTGGACATAAGGATAATTTACAGTTGACACATCAAAGCAAATCTTGACACTTAATATTTTTGTATTTTACTTCGTAAATATTTAAATAAAACAGAACAAGTACAAAATAAAAAAAAAATAAATAAAAAAAAATTTTTTTGAAGACAATATTTTTTATACTAATAAAAATGCAGAAAAAAAAATTATATAATATAAATGGAGACCATGCCCCATTAAATTTCTCATGGAAATCTATATAATTGCAGATTAAAATCTTTATGATTTTTTGAAAGATCAATGAATATAAATTGTGTAATATTTTTTTTGATATCATCAAGACCGCATGGGTTTCTTGGGCATTAAAAACAGGTATATAAGAAATTGCCTAAATTTTTTTTAAATTGGTATTTAATAATAATTTTCAAAACTTCTGATCATTTCATTGGATACTACCAGAAATAGCTCATTACAAATTTTTAAGTTAAAAATTTATGTTCACTATAAATCAAAGTTATATGACTTGAAACCTCCAAATAAACATTGCAATTCTGAGGGGACAATGTGGATATCTGGTCAATATCTGCTAAAAGTAAAACAGGCATACGAGGCTGAAATTTTCGAGGAATTCTTATAATACTAAGCACTCTCAACTGTATAAAAATCAGCAAAATCTGAGATGTATGGAATTACCCTATATATAATATAAAAAAGTATTACTTTTTTTTTTAATTAAAAAAAGTAATATTTTTATATTACTTTTTTTTTATATAAAAAAACTTCCCTATAAGCAACTTTTATAGAGAACAAAAAGTACATACATCGACTATCAAATAGCCTGACTCGCAAGGGAGTGCTGCTACATCGACTGAAGGTTTGGTTTAGCTAAGCATCAAGGTCAGGCTCAGGGTAACGACAAGGTTTAAATATGGTTAAATTACTGTACTTAATTGTTTTTGTTAATAGATAAAAATAGAAATGAAATATAATATATAATAAATAAAAATAACAAAAATCAATATAAAAAAATATATAAATAGTATAAAAAAAAAGTTAAAAAAAAAACAACAACAAAAAGGGAACTAAAAAAAACATGTCCTTATAAGGACATATACAAGCCCTGGTGGAAATCAAGAGCTTTAGCACTTGCTCTTGCCCACACTCCCCTAAAACGGTTGACAAGAGTAATTTACGGCTCTCGCAAAAATATAATTTCCTCTCTCAAAAGTTTAATTATAATTATAACTAAAACAAAAAACGCAGTCATTTTAATAATTATTTTTAATAAATCCTAAAATGCCTGCATTCTATTCAATAAGAAAATATAAAACTTTTTATTAAGCAGTTAAAACAACACTTGTCTAAATAATTTAGAGGAGCAGCTTGCATAGCTCATTTCTTCCTGCCGAGGCCTGTATGTGTGTGTGTGTGTGTGTATATATATATATATATATATATATATATATATATATATATATATATATATATATATATATATTTATAGACACACACACACAATTGAGATTTAGATCAGCACTTGCAGTTTTTTTTGCTTTATTTATTTTCAGAAAAAGAAAAAGAAATTTGCTGCTCCAACCCAAACCCTTAGCCAATCTAGCAACACCTCTTACACATGACTCTTATTTAGTCAATATGTTTACTGAAGTTAATGCATGTACAGTCAATGTATGTATTAAAGTAAGAATAAAGTGAGTGTTAAAACTTTAAAAATTAAGTGTAAAAAATTGTATTGGTATTATTCTTATGATAATTTTTGTTTTACTCTCATTTATGGGCAAGGAAAAGTAACCTTCAAAAATCAAGAGTATTGTTTATAAAAAATTCATTTCATAAATAATTTATTTCATTAACAAAAACTTTAATACACCATAACTGTTTTATTTTATTTTTTTATGCTTAAGAGTTTTTAAAGTAAAAGCTAGATCATAGCTGATTAGTAACACACTATTTTTTGTTCTACAAAAATCAAAAATATTTAAGAACAAAAACTCAACAAAAACAAAAAAACCTTTGCAGGCATTTCACAAATACTTATTTCACAAATAAGAATTAAAAAAAATGGATCAAAGCAGCAAATTAAATT